ACAGCAGCAACCACAACAGCAGCAACCACAACAGCAGCAACCACAACAGCCACAATCTTCAGGTGCAGCAGCACAGCAACAACAAGCTCAAAGCAGCGGACCAAGTACTTCTTCAACTTCGTTTCAAAATTTGGCAGCTAGTGGTGTGCCATTGTTTCCTCCACCATTTCCAACTATGGTACCGTTACCTCCTATTCCTACGCCACCACCGAATCTTACAGAATTAAGCAAAGAAGAACTTAGAGCAATGGAAGGTAATTTACGACAAGCTGTCGAAGCTAGAATACAAACGTTGCAAAGAGTTCAGCTTTTATTAGATGCTGCCAGTGCTATGATGAATCAATATCAAACAGCAGCTGCTACCGCTAAGTATGTGCAAGTTTTTCGTATCTTAGTAAAGTCAAAAAATAACGATTAACATTGTCTCATTTTACATTTGTTTATTGTAGTATTCCAGTGCCAACTGCGATAAATAACGCAAATGTTACAACAGATGTTCCTTCAGTGAGAAAACAAGGAATATCTAAAATTGCAAACTCCGGAGTTAACGGCGAACAACCACAAGTTAAAGCTGAGATGAATGTTCCTATTGAAAATTCTTCCATTGATAATGTAAATACGTTATCAGGCACAAATGGTACTGATGTAACTCCAGAATCATCGATTAGAAATGACGTGGAATCTTCAAGTGAACAAGAAATGCTACGAAGGCGTAGGCTACAAAAATTTTCAGCTCAGCTTACGGCAGAATAAATGTTCGTGAAATTATGTGATAATTTGTGTAATATAATTGTACCTTTATTAATAACAGACCTGGTTGCAGATACGATTGATAATTGAAAAAGAAAAAAAAAAGAAATGTAACAATTATGGTTAAGAGCTCGAAATTTAAAGTTGATACTACAATATTAATAATCACAAATATATCAAATAATCATTTAAAGGAAATAACATGATAAATTTGATTTTTTATGTAAATTACTTTAGGAGCAAAACACATAATTAGTTTTTGTTTCTTAACTACTTTGTGCGCGTATATATCATTTGATATATCCTTTGTACAATGGGTTCTGGTATATTTCTTAAAAAATAATTTGTATCGATTAAATTCTGTATTCTTATATCTAAAAATGATTTTAATCTTGTTACTTTTTATCCCATAATTTTTATATCATAAAATATGATTTACAACATGCTATCAGTCTTATTTGCGCTATATACATGGTAATGTACAGATTTTACTAATTATTATATATTAAGAATGCTTGTATCTGTACATGGGAATGGTAATGTCAGTTACTACAACATGACTGTAAAATAATTGTTTTAGATAACTGTCATTATATGTAATAAATTTATTTGTCTATTTAATAATGCTTTTATTTTCATCACGTAAATTTGTATACATTTGTATAAATTTGATATATGGAGAAGCATTTGTAATAATTTTGAACAATTGGATAGCAAAAGATAAGTACAAAATAAATTTAATTATTTATAGGGACAAATTAAGGTAGAGAAATTCTAAGATAAATATGTATTTAATTATTTTAAATAAAAAAATAAGTTGTGCATAAGATGTTACAATAGTAATATACATATAATTATAGTTTCTCTTAGTACGAAAGTAAAATTTTAAACATTATAAAAAAAACATATTAAATACGTTTAAATAAATTACGATGTAAAATCTTCATTTAAATATAAACGTTCAAAAAAACAATATTTTGTTGTAACATCGTTGTCAAAATATAATACAATTAATCTCCTTTTATAGGTATAGATCTACCTTTAAGTTACTATGAAAATAACATATTTCTTAAAGCTATCATATATATAGTTATGATCATAACATTTATAATTATTGAAAAGAATATAAATAAATAATCATTGTTATTCGTTAAATATTATCGATCAGTTTTAGAAGATAATTATAACCTTAATTTTCAATACTAAAAATGCGCAAACTCAGGACGTCAACAACATAGTGATCAAATCCTATAGAATCCTATTTGTAATTTAAATTATCACGGGAAGAAAGTGTATTAATGTTTTAAAAATGTAAAACATACATCGTTTAAAAAGAATTGTACAAACATCGTAGAAAGTTTTCGTTTCCCTATGATTATTTACAAAATGACAAGTACTTTCGTCGATATTTATGTAATTTTTTACATAAAACTTTAATTTTATTTTAACAATATTTAATTTAATTAAATTTATTTAATTTTTTTTTTTTTAATCTAATTTTATTTTTAATTTGACAATTTGTCTGTCATTTTTTACGCTTCAATTCGATGTATAAACGATAAACGAGTTCGATTAATTTGGCAATAAGTATTTTATAGATTTCTTTGATAAACAAATGTACAATGTAACGTTCTTAAATATTAATGGATCTTAAATATT